TTGGCAACACATTAATTTTACCAATGTTAAAGTTATCAGCATATATATCAGCTAGTCTCACAATCTTCTCCACATCAAAATCAGAGAAGTTGTTCCTTAAATTAAAAGAAGCCATACATACTAATACTAATAGTACTAAACTAACTTCACCAAATCAATCGATGATTCATCCTTAATCAATTTTTTAACAATTAATTATGTGAAAAAGGAAAAAAAAAACAGAAAAATACCTCAAGCTAGCAGGGCGCGGCTGGCTCTGGCCTGCCCTCTAGCTGGTGGCTGCCCTATCGGCTGGGGCTGCCGCCTGTCGGACTGGCTGCTGGCCCGCAACGCCGCCTCGCCGCCCGTGCGTGGTGGCGCACTCGGTCGCTCGGGTCTTGGCCTCGCCCAACATCTGTAGTCCGGCGCTGCTCTTCGGCTCCACCAGCCATCGGCCGGACCACGTCGCTGCCGCCGCTAAGCCCTAGGCGCTATGCGCCGCTAACCCTCCGCCAGTCCAGCCCGCTGCTCGCACCCCGCGCGCGAGTTCGTGAATTAGCTAGAGAGAGAGACGGACAGAGAAGTCAGAAATCGAGAATAGCGAGAAACGTGAGTAAGGCCGGTCCTATTCTTATTGGGCTTGTGGTCTGTAGCTTTTCAATATGGGCTGAACCACACAGGATGGCCCAAGACGTCTAAGTCGTCTTCAACCTCCGACAGATACTCCCCTCAAAAAAAAAAACTCCGACAGATACTCCAGGAGCGGCAGATCCTATAATTCTTCCTTTGAAATTTTCATGGGGGTGGCCGATCCTAGCTTATATGTTTCCCAGCCGCTATCTCCCTTTTAATAAGTACAACTAAAGGTGAAACCTTGATAAGAACTGAAGAAGGCCAGATCGACTCTGCTCCTAGTGTAGTTCTGTGCATACCTTTTGTATTTCCCGTATGAGGTCGCATAGGTACCCGATGGTCCGGATCCCTTGATTGCCGCCGCACCTTTGTCTCCATTTTTGCCACCATCCTCGTTTCCCGGTGCTCGTTCCTCGATCTCTTCCTGGATCTGGACGCATCGCCGATCCTCTTTCCTCCGACTCTCCTGGTGCAGCTCCGCCTGCTGCTTCTCCCTCGCCAGACACCTCCATTTCCCGTCTCTCCCCTCGCTGAAGAATAGATGCAACTTGCTCCTCACCCACCCATGCGCGAAGAACTCTCAGGGCCTCTAGCATGCCATTATATCCTCTCCCAGCCATGTTTCCATGTTTCCGAATCTGGATGCATGCCCCCTCATCCACACCATCCGTTGACGTGCGTACGTACGCACCTGCGTAGCAAATCCGCGTTTCCCCGTCCTCGCCGTCGTCCCTGTCGCTGTCGCTGTCTCCGTCTTCGTCATCGCTGCCGGTGTCACCACCGTATCCCCCGCCGCCGTAGAAGAACCCATGTAGGGTTTGTGGGAGCTCCTTGCGGTGGAGGGGGTCGGTGGCGAGGCCACACCACGCTTTGGACACGCACTTGGATCTGTGGAGGTCCTTGACGGAAACCCGCGAGAGGATCTCCACGAGGATGTCGTCGGGGAGGCCGGCGACCGCGCTCCTCCTCTTCGCGCGGTCCATGCCGCTCGCCAGAGAGAGGGCCAAACGCGGAGCGTACGGGCCCGCCGGACGCCGCAGACGATTGGGGGGATCGCCGAGCCCGAGCTTGTCTGTTGGTAGGGTTTGGGGATTTTTTTTTCTGATCCGCAACCAAGGGTTTTTTATATTATTATTATTTTTGGAGAAACATGGAGATGGGGAAAGAAATTGCTTCTACGACATTTCCGACAGTCGCGGTTAAATATTGCGCGATGCCCCTTTGCCGCCCTTGGGCCAAATTTCTCGCGTCTTCACTCTTCTTCAGCCATTTGGCACTCTTTTAACTCCTGGTAAATTTCGACTATTTAATTAACACCAAACATATGGGCTTCATTAAAAAAAACATTCAATCCAGATTCCTCTTGAAATTTGACGCTACACGTAAGAATTGCTTCTAGGGCACCCAGTACATTTTCGACAGGCTCGTCTCATCTGGTCCTTGAACTTCTGGTTGGTGAAGGGTGACCACAAATCCTCATGCAGAACCCAATTAAACTAAACTATATAAATCGGTCTGCTGCCTAACGGTTTTATTCTGCAGTCTACATGGCAAATTGGTGCCCAACGATCTGGGTGGTGTCAAGCACGAGACATGCAATCTTCATGAAACTCACATCCCAAGATCTCCTTACCAATACGGTTTCAGAAAACGAAACTGCAGAAGTAGAACGCACAGCTCAGCTCGGGAACACCACAATCCAGAACGCAAGGCTCAGCTAATGTTTCAATAGAAAATGATCGCCCAGTCCATATTCTAGATTCGAGGTGAACACACAATCAGATATGCGACAATGCAAGCGAGCAGAATCCTACAGAAAAGGGGTCAAGTTCTTGGAAAAGGAACGACAAATAGTGCATGATGATTTTTTTTTTAGATGAAGGAAGCTTTATTAGTAACAAAAACAGACTCACACATCTGCAGTAGTACAACAAAGCAGGATAAGCAGTACTTCTATCCACTTACAAACAAAGCCAGGTGCTGCTCATCCATGATCCACGCTAACTCAGACTGACGAGGATTTTTCAGAAATCTTGTGCACCAGATTCTATTCCAATCACTGACATTCCAGACAGAGGACCTTTGGAACCTGCCCTACCGATGAAAGAACGCTTATGGAGCATTGGTCTTCTGACATCCCTAGAAAAGCAGAAGCACTCAATCTCATATCAAGCATACACAGAATGACACACTTGAGTCAAGAAATTTATTCAATCATCACAGCAGGCAGGGTAAATTGCAGATATTTATCATGGCATATAGCATATGGAGGATTGAGTCAAGAAGGTAGACAAGGGCAAATAAAAACATAGATGCAGGGATTTACTAGTACTTAACTTGGACTCAATCAACATTTATCATCCACATTCTTGCAGATGCATCAGCATTCAGTGGATGTTTTAAGAATTTTCCTAGTCTAAGCTACAGCCAGTAATGCTTTCGGTCGATGCTGATTATAGAAATGGCAGCCAGTAATCAAAACAAGCAAGATCTTCCTGAATCCTGACTCTGACTCAGTAGCCCATCTATCATGTAAGCTTCCAACACAGTAGTAGCTCACCTCTGTAAGAGGGAAAGGAAGCAAATTGAAGGATACAGAGTAGACAATTTTGTATCCTTCTAAAGCTTTAATTCATAAGCTAGGCGTTGACGTCACGGATTTAATTGCTAACAAGTTCATGCTAGAATAGTATCACATGTAGCTTTGAACTTGAGATGGACTCGGCAATTGTAAATTTGATAATTGATAGCATCATGTTCATTCCAACAACACATGAAAATGCACTGGTTCCTCTTCACAAATTTGTTTCCTGAACTTTATTTGAACAAGATGCATGATTCAAAAGTCCTAATTACCTAGCTTAGATCTAATTCAACTTTATCTGAACAAGATGCACAATTTGGAGATTATAAAAACAAACTATCAGTCACCTTAAAAGTTCTCAAGTGCCATACTGTGGTTGAACTATGTGTTTCTTAATCTTCTCTCGGGCCTATGTTTATGCTGTAGTAATGAACTAAATGCAGCTTTCAGACAGTTTGCCAACAATGCATGCTATTGAAAGTTACCCTCAAAAGCCACCTACCATTTTGTGCAGCTGAACAATAGCTGCCACCTCTGACCTCCCCATGTTGTAATGAGGATAGTTTGGACAGATCATTGCTTGGTTGTTAAGCTGGTTCTAGATGTGTTCTTTATAACCATTGTATTATATTATATTTATATGTAGCCGTTTTTTTATAACAGCAATCAATAATTTAAACTTGTATTTGTTGCCTGTACAAGTTAGCTCTGTCCACAGTATGGCACTTGAGAACTTTTAAGGTGACTGATAGTTTGTTTTTATAATCTCCAAATTGTGCATCTTGTTCAGATAAAGTTGAATTAGATCTAAGCTAGGTAATTAGGACTTTTGAATCATGCATCTTGTTCAAATAAAGTTCAGGAAACAAATTTGTGAAGAGGAACCAGTGCATTTTCATGTGTTGTTGGAATGAACATGATGCTATCAATTATCAAATTTACAATTGCCGAGTCCATCTCAAGTCCCCCCCTGAGTGTTTTTTCTTGCAGTAGTAGAAGTGGTTTGTAGTATTAATTGGATACGACGTCACAAGAAACAAGATAACAATATGTCAGCTATATAATGCAGCACCATATATAGGAAAAACATTGTCTGCAAACCTAGACAGGTCAAGTAAGTCACAGGCAGATAGCCTATTTCATAAGCAAATACAAAAGCTTGTGCATGCTGCGACTGCAGAAATTCAGCAGCTGCTACAGGGTTCGCCTTGCCCACCTCCGTGCTATCTGTCCTGACTGATCAACAATGGCCACTGCACGCTCCCCTGCCCTGGCAACGTCCTTCACGCTTATCTCACTCGCCCACCCCTAGCTTCTCTTCATGTTGTGCCACCGATAAGAAGTCTGAGAAGCAAGGAACATAAGGAGGAAACTGCAAGGATTCCTGAAATGTGCCGACGGTCCGCACTTCCTTGCTGTTCAAGCCATATGATTTCAGCTGGTGTTTCCAATATACAATGAACACCAAATTGTTGTTGTCTGGATGAATGGCAACCACATTGTAACCAAGAAAACCTGATATTCCAAACAGACGTGAACAGCTCACACTGTGCTTAAGGGCCCACTTTTGCGTATCATAGTCCTCAAGAGCCCAGATTGACAGTAGATTAGAATCATCATTGGAGTCTCTTCTATAAACACGACTGGACAGTTCAGATGGGATACCACCTGCCCAATGTTCTTCATTGATGCAATATAGGCGCCCTTGGGATTGACCAATGAAAAGCGGAAAGCAGCCATGAACCCGCCCACCCACAGAAGATGGCGCTCGGATGATCCTTTTTGTCTTCCCTTCCACATCCACCTCAAATATCTGATTATCAGTCAAGATCAAATACAGCATGCCGTTGAAAATGGTGGCACATGGGGCCGCACCCCTGATCTGAGGCGCATTCCATTGTCTAGCCTCCATACTTCCTGAGCTCAGTCAATCTGGGTGTGCCTCCACACCCCTGTTTCTGAGGAGTAGGATTGCACTGTTGCAAGGCTCCCCTCCTGCGCGCTGATGATGACTAAATGGAAGTAGGGGGAGACAGCCGGATTGAACACGAAACAGGTGTGGTTCAATCGAATAGGCCTATCAGCCAGAGTACGCTGGCTGGGCACGGTCGCCCACTGCTCTGTGGCGGGGTTGAACACAATATAGCCCAGCTCGCGAAGCCTGGTGCTGTGCCTAAAGAGGAGGAGCCCGTTGCAGGACGCCCTGAGCCAGATGTTGTGGATGCCAGGCAGCTTCTTGAGGAAGGGGAAGGAAAGGTCGACGGGAGACGCGGATCCCCCGGACAGATTGATGAAAGATCCCAACTCCCCCACGTAGGAAGGGAAAAAAACCATGGAGGGTTGGGGGGAGCTTCTTGTGGTGGAGGGGATCCGCGATGAGGTCGCGCCAGCCTTTGGAGACGCACTTGGATCGGTGGAGCTCATTGATGGAGAGGCGGGAGAGGATCTCCACCAGGAGATCGTCGGGGAGGCCAGCCACCGCGGTCTTCTTCGGGCGCTCCATGCCGCTGCGAATGGAGAAGCAAACAGGGGGTGAGGGTGATGAGGGCCGCGAGGAGACGAGCGAGCGCGCCGCTGGAATGGAGGTGGACCGGAGCGTACCGGCGCCAGGCGCCAGAGAAGGTGGGCGATGTCGCACGGCCCCGCGAGATCCGCCGTGACTGAAGAAGCTCCTGTCCCCTTACCCTGCCGGCGCCTCGTCGCCGACCCCGCCAGCGCCCGTCCTCCCCAACGCGAAGGCGGAGAAGGCCCACGCCGGCGCCCTCCGCGGGCCCCGTCACCAGTCCCCGCCGACGGCCCCTCCTCTTCTCCTTCTCCGCCCTCCAGCAACGGTGCGGGCAAGGAAACGGACCGTGCGGCTCATCTGATCCTTGAACTTCTGGTTAGGAATGGTAACCACAAATTAAACGGACCGAACGGGGCCTTAGAACCCAATTAAACTAAATTATAAATTGGTCTGCTGACTAACGGTTTTATTTTGCAGTCTATATGGCCATTGGTGCCCAACGATCTGGGTGGTGTGAAAGACGATATATGCAATCTTCCAACTTGCATGGTGAAGCTGCACATACGAAGATCTCGTTACCAATACGGTTTCAGAAAGTGAAACTGCAGAATGCACAGATGCTTGGAACATCACAATCCAGAATCACAGCGCGCAGGCTATCAGACCCTATCCAGATGCTGTAGACCCTATCTAGATGCTGTAGTATCAAATCATAGTATCAAGAAACTAAATTTGTAAATAATGGTTTATTGAAAAAAAAGTCTAGAGTGGAGTTTATAAAACTCCAAAAAGACTATTGTTTTAGCAATACTATGGTTTCAAAACCATGAAGTTTTTTCATCCAAACACTTCACGTGCCACTCTAAAATCAAAGTATTTCATAAAACCATGGTTTTTTTTTCTAAAGCTAAAAAAAAATACTTTGCATCGAATAAAATTGTTCAATATAGATCCTTGGGTTCTCGCTCCACGGTAAAGACTTATGTGCTTAGCTAATGCTTCAATAGAAAATGACCGCCCAGTCAATAATTTAGATTCAAGGTGAAGACACAATCGGATATGCAACTATGCAAGCGAGCAGAGTCCTACTGAAAAAGGGGTCCAATTCTTGAAAAAAGGAAGGACAACTAAGGCATGACTCATGATGATTTTTTAAGATGATGAAGAAAGCTTTGTGATTTTGTAATAAAAACAGATACAGGTCGGCATGTAGGACATGCTAAAATTGTGTGTTAAATCCCAAAAATGGGCAAAGACCAAGTGCAGTTGTGCCTAGATATGTCAAACAGAATCACACAGCTGCAGTAGTACAACAAAGCAGGATAAGCAAATTTGTATGCACTTACAAAGCCAGGTGCTGCTCATCCATCATCCATGCTAACTGAAAGCGTGGAGATGGGGATTTCTAAGGAATCCTGAGCACCAGATTCTATTCTAATCACTAACATTCCAGACAGACCACCTTGGGAACCTGCCCCACCGATGAACACAAGGAACGCTTATGGTCTCATGACATCCCAAGAAAACCGGAAGCACTCAATCTCATATCAAGCATACACAGAATGAAACTCTTATAGAGGAGAAAAATCAGAGACAGATATTCAACCATCCCAGCAGGCAGTGGTAAATTGCAGAAATTTATCATGGCATACGGCATACGGAGGATCGAATCGAGAAGATAGATGAGGGCAAATAAAAACATAGATCCCTATTTACTAGTAGTTAACTTAGACTCAATCATCATGTATCCTCCACATTCTTGCAGAGGCATCAGCATTCAGTGGATGTTATAAGAATTTCCTAGTCTAAGTTACAGGCAGCAATGCTTTCAGTGGATGCTGATTATTGAAATGGCAGCCAGTAAACAAAACGAGGAAGACCTTTTCGGTAGCCCAACTATCATGGCAGCCAATAATCAAAACGAGCAAGACCTTCCTGATTCGGTAGCCCAACTATCATGGCAGCCAGTAATCAAAACGACCAAGACCTTCCTGATTCGGTAGCCCATGTATCATGTAATTCGGTAGTCCATGTATCATGTAAGCTTCCAACACAGGAGGTCACCTTTGTCACTCTGTCAGAGGGAAAGGAAGCAAATTGAAGGATACAGAGTAGACAATTTGATCCTTCTAAAGCTCTAATTCATAAGCTAGCTGTTGACTTCAGAGATTTAATTTCTAAGGAGTTCATGCTAGAATAGTATCACTATCACATGTAGCTTTGAACTTGAGATGGACTTGGCAATTGTAAATTTGATAATTGATAGCATCATGTTCATTTCAACAACACATGAAAAATGCAGTGGTTCCTTTTCTCAAATCTGTTTCCTGAACTTTTCAGGTTTTTGCATCCTAAAGTCCTAATTAGCTAGCTTAGATCTGATCCAACTTTTATCTGAACAAGATGCACGATTTGGAGCTTATAAAAACAAACTATCAGTCACCTTAAAAATTCTCAAGTGCCATGCTGTGGACAGAGCTAACTTGTACAGGCTACAAATACAATTTTAAACTGTTGACTGCTGTTATAACAAAAAAGAATGGCTGCAGATAAATATAATATGTTATAGACAACACATCTTGAACGAGCATCAACAACAAAGCAATGATCTGCCGAAACTATCCTCGTTACAACATGGCAGCTATTATTCAGCTGCGCATAATGGAAAAATTTTCAGCAAACTATACATGACATATTATCACGTAGGTGGCTTTTGAGGGTACTGAACTTTCAATAGCATGCATTGTTGGCAAACTATCTGAATGCTACATTTAGTTCATTACTTCAGCATAAACATAGGACCGAAAGAAACAGGGTAAGGAATGAAACAATATGACAGGTACATAATGGAGCACCATATATATAGGAAAAAATTGTCTGCAAAACTAGACAGGTCAAGTAAGTGCACATGTAGTTCATAAGCAAATACAAAAGCTTTGGATGCTAGAGCGACTGCAAAAACTTAGAGGCTGCTACAGGGTTTGCTTTGCCCACCTCCGCGCTATCTGCCCTGTGCCCTGAGTGATAAATGGCCACTGCATGCTCACCTGCCCTGGCGACGTCCTTCACGCTTATCTCGCTGGCCCACCCCTAGTTTCTCTTCAAGATGTGCGACTGATAAGAAGTCCAAGAAGCAAGGAACATAAGGAGGAAACTGCAAAGATTCCTGTAATGTGCTAACAGTATGCACTTCCTTGCTATTCAAACCATATGATATCAGTTTGTGTTCCCCAGAGAGAACAATGAACACCAAATCGTTGTTGTCTGGATGAATGGCAACCACATTGGAACCAAGACCACCTACACTGTAATAAATGCATCCAAACAGACGTAAATAGCTCACACTGAGCTTAAGGACCCATTTTTGTGTATCATAGTCCTCAAGAACCCAGATTGACAGTAGATTAGAATTATCATTGGAGTGTCTTTTATAAACACGATTGGACAGTTCAGAGGGGATATGACGTGGCCATTGTTCTTCATTGATGCAATATAGGCGCCCTTGGGATTGACCAATGAAAACTGAACTACAGCCATGAACCCACTTACCCACCGAAGACGGAGCTGGGATGACCCTTTTTGTCTTCCCTTCCAAATCCACCTCAGCGATCTCCACTGCTCTGTGGCGGGGTTGAACACAATATAACCGAACTCGCTAAGACTGGTGCTGTGATTAAAGAGGAGGAGCCCATTGCAGGACGCCGAGAACCAGATTGATGAAGGGGGAGGCAGCTTCTTGAGGAAGGGGGAGGCAGGATCGACCGGAGACGGGGATCCCCCAAACCGATTGATGAAAAGCAGATCCCAACTCCCTCGCGTAGGAAGGGAAGAACCCGTGGAGGGTTTGGGGGAGCTTCTTGCGGTGGAGAGGGTCCGTGACGAGATCGCGCCAGCGTTTGGAGACGCACTTGGATCGGTGGAGCTCTTTGACGTGGAGACGGGAAAGGATCTCCACCAGGGGGTCGTCGGGAAGGCCAGCCGCCGCGTTCTTCTTCGGGCGCTCCATGCCGCTGCGAACGGAGAAGCAGATAGGCGATGAGCGCGCGCGCCGCTGGAATGGAGGGTGAAGCGGAGCGTACCAGCCGGCGGCCGCCAGACGCCGGTGAAGATGGAGATTGCCGAACCAGATGAATTTAGATATATATTTTTTATTATATATATATATATATGATAAATAAAATTGGGTATTTATCCTCCTGGTAGGTGGGCCAAATACCATTAAACATATAGACTTTGCAGAATTGTCCTCGTAAAACACTCAATGCCATTTCATGAATTAATATTCACTAGCAAACATGTTTATCCGTTGCAACAGAACGTACAAATTACTACGCGCTCATGAGAACAATTTAATTAAAACTCAGAGATTTATATCATGTATTCTAATACGTCTTAGAATATTAAATTTTGTAATGTGTCCGACCTGTGTTGCTCATGTGCGTCACCGTGAGCCTGGTGCGTACCCGGCCCCGACAGCGCGGCCAATACAGAGCTCACCAGCAGCTACAGGCAAGAAAGCTCGGCAGCCGGAGCTCTGCACAAGAACCAGGCAAGTTCGAGCGCAGACGGCCACGGACGCGGCCATAGGGCGACGGCCTCTGCGGTGGCGACCTCTAGCGGTCTAGCCCCGTCCCTGGCCGCTGTGGGTGAGCTCGACATCCTGCCGTGGGCTGGTGTGCATGGGCAAGGCCAAGCCTCGGCCGCCGCCGGCGAGCGCTCGGAGCCTGCGCAATCACAGGCAGCCTCACCATTGTTGTCGTCGCGTTATCGAGGTCGGCTGCATGTCTGCATCGATGAGGTCATCAAGCATGCCTTGCCATGGCTAGCAGGTCCGCTTTGACTGCGTCATGGCTCTAGCAGGTCGAGTCATCATCACCATGCAGTGTCTCGACTCGAGGGTTCTTTGTTTCCGATCGTATTAGGTGGTGTGTTTATGTGTGTGTGTGTGTCTCTCTCTATAGACACACACACATTGGATTCGGCTCTTGTTTTTTTCTCGATTTTTTTATGCGTCGGGATACATAACTACATATGATTTTGATTCTTGTTGATTAGGATCAGAACTTTGGTTAGACGGAGACTGAAGCCAGGCATGGAATAGAAGAAAATAGTACGATGGAAACGTGACAAGGGAAAAATGAAAACTGAGATGGACACGAAAAAAACACTATTTGGATTAGGATTAGGTTACTCATACACCATATCAAACATGATCATAGAGATCTATTATTTGGATCAGAATTCTATATGTCTAGGTTACCTCCAGAAGAAATGTATGTCATATAAAAAAAAGCTGTAGGCAAGTAGGAACATCGACAATTTCCACATTCACGGAGGTAGTTAAGGAGGCTAGACAAAAAAATAGGTAGAAATTTTGCCTCTTTATTATTAGGTATAGATATAGATTTATCCAATCATAAAAAATGACATGACGTTACAATTCGGGCCATCGCTCTTGTTCTCCTGATTACGCCGCCGTCACTACCTATCGCAATGCTCTGGCCGTATTCCAGGTGGAGCTCGAGGTGGTCGAGCTTCTCAATCATGCGGACGTCACGAGACACCTCAGAGGCCTACTCCCACCTCATCTTGTGCTCATGGTATGAGGCGGCGCTAGGGTTGGCTGCGGGCACTAGAGCTACGGGGCGTTGATAGGGCTGGGCCATAGAGCGGGGTGACGCTC